TTGGGGGCCTGTCGACAGACGTAACAACATTGTCACTGTGAACCTCATGCAGCGCTTCGCTTAGCCAACTCCTGTTGTGGTGAAGGAGCGTGGCAGTTAACGCTTTGCTAACGGATTATAAGTAATGCCCCACGTTTGAAAATAAGTCAAAGAATGGAAGTATCCACTGCATTATCCAGTGAGTTCGAAATATCGCAGAGGATGTCGTTGACAATTCAGGTCAGGTCCGTCAAGTACTTGGCACCCTTCTTCTTCATTATGCACCGTAGTTTGCGACTGCGAACAACGTCTAGACTGCTTGTAACATGGTTAGCAGACTCGAAGAAAAAGGCAGAGTCTACACATTTAGAAGAACAGAACAACAGTCTTGTGAGCTCACCTGGTACGTCGTTAAACTACCAAACGAATTTACTGAAAATACGGTAACTAACAGAGCTGTAGCCAATGTGAGGAAAAAACCAAACAGGAAACAAACGCTTTGCAGCGGTCCCACGAAGAATGGAGCAAAGTTCAAATTCGTCGCTTACTCTACCTGAACAGGGGAACGCTGAAGTAAACTGTACCATTCCGATGAAATCGCATAAGCGAAAGTTTAAACGAAGTACATGCAGGCTTTCGAGTGCTATAGAGGTTACATACTGTCGAAATAACACAAGGGTAGTTTTGCTAATTTTGTATAATCTACTCAACAGACAACGAATAGCTCAAGCAGTTCTGACACCACAGTGACAGAAAAGCCAACAGTACTCTGGTTAACTGCTTCTGTATTTATGTAAGCCATGTCTTCTACGTGAGTTTCTGCCGACATTAAGGGGCAACAGGCCCTCAGAAACATCACCGCAGGCTAATGGAGTCATCCGCCTCATAAGAACACGCAGCATTAATTGTTTGCATGTTAAAAACGAGACAACCCACCGGTGCAAGAGTGGGTACACCGTCTTCCCCGGACAGGTAAACTTTCGCAAATTAACATTTTATAAAATGTACCGGCATGAAATTTCGGTAAAGCTTTCCCGACTGCCAAAGACGAGGAAGCCGATGCCTGGCTTCCTTCACTTGAGGATAAATTCTCACTTTTCTTCTCCTCGGCTTGCATTGCGCTAACACAATACTTTTCCAAACGATCCTTCAACATTTTCTGGCTTCTGTGTCTCAAGTACACGGATTTACTCTTCATCGCTAGTTTTTCCCACCTGAATAATAACCACACAGTTTGCTGCTTTGAAATAACAAAACAAATTTAACCACCACGACTACGTGGAGTGTTACTAAAAACAGCTATATCTGCACCACTATAGCGCTACAACGGTGGCATGAATAAAATCTTTTCTCTTCACCGCCGCCCTTTGTCTGAAGGGATGACAAAACTGCCAGAGAAGGGAAAATGCAAAAAAATGTTGATTTCTTCTTTCCTTAAAAAACATAAATTCGGCTAAATGGTCCAAGATTAGTTGAAAAGTGACAGTATGCGTAATAAACGACTTCAGAAACATTAAATTTGGGTTGAAACGAAAAAAAAGCTCGCAAACCTAGCCGTGGCTTGGAAACTAAGAAACTTTCAGCGTTCTCGGGCGTTTGGTTTTTCGCAAAACAAAACGTAGTAGTTCATCATGAGTGTAATTACTGCGCTTTATAAATGCAGTAGGCAAAAGGGCAACGTTTACTTAAAAAAAAAAAAAACAAATACTCAAGGAAAAAAAGGCGATATGTCGAACCGCCGTGTCCCAGTGCAGCATGTTTCGGTAGATTTATGCAATCAGAAGAAATTCTGCTTACTTAAAAGTACGAGTGGAAGACGCAGGCCGTGAAGGACTCATCAGTGCCAGGAGATTTTTACTAGCTGATTCGGCTGCCTCATCGCTCGAGCTCGTCTCCGCTATCGGACGGGCCATATGGAGAGTATTTTTCGATGACACTCCTGCAACAAAAAGCTGGCAAGCAATAAACACAAAAATCCATCACGAAACTTTTTTCAAAGATTTTCGCATCAAAATTTAGTAGAAAAATAACAAGAATAGTAAGCCAGGAAGTAGAAATTGAAGGGCTGGAGACCAAGGCGCAACACATGGACATACATACGATAAATTTTAGGCGTAGGAAGGTAGTACAGTTCATCTAATAACTCTGTATTCCAGCTTCGTGCATTCTCCCTTCGTTAAGTCATACTGTTGTTTGCTTTAATGCGATGCAGACAAAAAGCAGATCAAATGGCCAGAACCTGCATATCATTGAAATAAAATAGTAAGTAGACTGATGCAGCCAAGTAGCAAATTCCCTCACTTATGACTCCTACTTCTCCGCTTCATTATCAACATAAATAACCTTTTCTCGGAAATTTCATCGTTTCATAACAATTTGGTTCAGCTACCTTCAGCAAACATTTATAATATGTTTCATTGTTTTTGCACGCCGCATCTTGTTTTAGATCAATGTCGTCAACAGTCCTCGACGGGGATGAAATCTTTGTCGTTGGTTGAGATCGTCCGAAATGATGCGGAAAACTGAAGAACTTCATGGATCAGTTTCCAGCACAACTACCATGACCAGATTTCCAAAAAAATAACATATCCGAAGAGCCATAAAACACGCAGCAGCATCAAATTCCAGCTACTTGTAGAAATTAGTAACAACAGAAATTTATAATTATAAGCCAGCAATTACAAGACAAGCTGCGACCTGCTGGATGAAGAGGGTATCGATAACGAACTATCGTTGTTTCTGACCACCTTGCTCGAAACTGCTCGCTTCTTCATCGTCGAACCCTAGAATGTAACTCCTTTGAAAACACTGACATTATCCAGCTCTAAAGGAATGACAAATTTGAAAAAAAAACAACCAGCGTAAAAAGCAATTTTCAACTTAGCAAGAAAAAAAAAAAACAAGCGCCGATCAACGCCGTTACCAAAAATTAAACGAATTTTTCACTGGACAAATGAAGAATTTTACAGCCAAGGCGACCAGTGAGATATTCACTACTCCTCCTGCTGTCTGCTGTTGCCCCTATCCAAACGCGGCACTTTCAGCCACACTCACGTTCAGTGATATCACTGAAACATCCACGCAAACAGCGCAATATAAACGAAGTGCTCACGTAAACAGAAGAAAGAGCAGAGCACACTATCACTCCATTCGGAAACAGCACCCTCGTTCTGCGCAGTACTCAAAAGTACTCCTCGATTTTTCTTGGTCAATAGCCTTTGAGGCGACAAACCAACAGCAAAATCATTTAAATTACCAAAAAAGCCAACTAGAAATCACCTGCAGCCACATTTGCTTTCGCTTAGTTTTCCAACTCTTGTGCTCTTCAGCCTGCCTACACACCTAAATGTTTCATTTTCCGAACCCCTCCACTAACAGCTGTATTAATGAAATTCATATATATATATATATATATATATATGTATATATATGTATATATATACATATATACATATA